CGGGTGCTCCGATCCCGCCCGCTCCGCCGCCCTGGCCCCTCCTCCCGGCCCAACGGTTTCGTTTCCCCGCGGCTCACACAGCCGACCAGAAAACAGCAGCGGGGGAGGAGCAGAAGACATGGATTGAGGATGGGGGGAGGGAAGGGGGCACCGCATGGCTATGGGGCAGGGACATGGGAATGCGGCTGAGGGATGTGATATGGGGATATGTGGGGCTTTGGCTACGGGGCAAGGGCCGTTGGGTCATAGCCATAGGGATGTGGCTGTGGGGCCACTGGGTGATAGGAGTATGGGCATGGTGTGGGGAGGCATTTGGGGATGGTTATGGGATGGGGAGCATGGCAATGGGATGAGGGAGAGGGTATGAAGATATGGCTATAGGGATGGGGCCACTGGGGTGTGGAACTGAATCAGGGATACATGGGAATATGTCTATGAGACAGAGTACTGTGTCCACGGCTGTGTGGCATGAAGGGCATGGCAGTGGAGTGGGGAGAACATGGAGGCATGGAAGTGGGGTAGGGAGGATGTGGAGCATGAGATGATGAGTACATGTGGGACAGCTGTGGGGTGCAGGGACATTTTAGGATGTGTCTGGGAATGGGATTATTGTGGGGTGAGGCATGGCCATGGGTTAAAGGGCTGTGGTGGGATTGATGAGAGGGAAGGTTTAGCAGATCTCTTCCAACTCCCCATGGCCCTAGCCAAAAGGAGACTGAGTGATCATAAGCCCACCTCATTCCTTCAAAAACATCACCAGAGGTGTCCCTACCTGGTGGACATAGTAGAGTCCATGTGGCATGTTCCCATGGACAGGCAGCCAAGGACAATCCCTCAGTCACAAGAACTGTGTGAGGACAGAGGAAATGGGGGGATCTGAGGACCTGGAAGGTGTTGAGAAAGGTATCTCCAGGGACTGGGGAACAAAAGACATGTGCCATCCCTGTGCTTCGGAGTCCCTGAGCCTGAGTCAACCAGGGACAGAGGGTCTGGTGAGGTATGGGGCCAGCAAGGATGAGCGTTGTGGACTCAGCTGGGCACAGAACTGAATCTGTGGCCATCCATAAGGGTTTCTGGGGTGAAGCAGGATCAGGACATGTGTACAGGTGAGGAAGGAGGGATAAGACGTGTTAAGGGTGGGGAGGGACTAAGACATATCTGGGGGCAACATATAGGAGCCAGGCATAGATCCAGGAAAATGTGGGACTAGGCTGTGTGATTGTGGAGAGCAACTATCTCAGACCAAGACCTCACAGACCCTCTTATATCCATCCATCCATCCATCCACCCATCCATCCATCCATCCATCCATCCATCCATCCATCCATCCCTCTGTTACCGTCTCACTACAGGGTGCTGGCTGCTCCAGCAGAGCAGCACACCACTGAATGTCCACAGGTTTCCTGGGGGACATAGTTCTCGGGAAAAGGCTGGGAGGGACAGGGATCCCAGGGCGGTAGATTCCAGGCTCCTGCCTATGACTGGCCTTCAGAATCATCTGAACCGTCCTGGATGAAGGGGCTGTATCAAATCGATCATGGGAACCATATGGAGATCACTTGCACTGTATAGATCACATAAGACCAATTTAGGCCCCATGGAGTGTTACAGATCGTGTGGGAACCGCAGGATATCACACTGACTGCACAGACCACATGAGAACCCCAAGGACACCACATTGAGGGTACTCAGACTGCAGACCACAGGCTGTATGAAAACCACAAAGACCTGGAGGCCACTTGGAATGTGTGAAGAAGGAACCTGTAGGACCCAATGCCTTGGGGCAAGTGTAGGGCAAATTTCAGGGGATGCAGTGGGACACCTCTCCAGAGTGGCCTACTCACCTCTTCCTACTGTCACCTTGCTCCTGACCACAGTGGTTTGCAGGTCAGTGCTTCATGGCTTCACGCTCTCTCTAGGCAGATTCACACTCTCCCAAGGTCTTCATCCCCGTGAGCCTCAGAGCTGTGGTGGGACTGCTGACAGCCATGAGCCTCTACTACACGTGCCACCTCTGGGGTGTGATGTTCCTCTGCAGGGATGGAGATGGGCCCTGCAGCAATGCCAGGACCCACTGGCCAGCCAGGGGACAGTGGGCCACATGCCTGCAGCTGGCACCAGAGGATGGCATCATGCTCACATATAAAGCCAGGGGAAGAGGGGATGTTTGGAGTGGTGGTGTTTTACCTCCCAAGTTAACATGATGGAGCCCAGCTGCCCTGGGGAGGCTGAGCCACCTGCCTGCCCTTAGGAAGTGGGGAATGAATTCCTTATTTTGCTTTACTTGCACACTGCAGTTTTGCTTCCCCTATTAAACTGACTTTACCTCGAC